TTTTTGTGATCACTCTTATGGATATTACAATTAATATTACAATACCTACAAGTAAATACCATTTTTCTTTTAGAATATTATTTTGAGTTGTACTGATAATACGTTAAGGATTAGTAAACATACATTATGCTTTTGTGTGTGGTGATCACAATGTGAAAAAGTAATTTTTCGAACAATGAACGATTATTAATTCAAATATATTCCGTTATTATAGTGGGGTCTATTTACAATGCATCGCAGTTGATTTTAGTAACAATACCATTTTTACTTGTAATGACGTGGGAAATTAGTGGCCAGGATAAAATTAATTAATCATTTGTCAACTAATCAATTAATCAATTAATAAACTAAGTCAACGAGTCAATTAATCAACTCAAATAAACATTACTCTCTTTGATTAATGCGAATTTTTCTTTTACGTTATTGTTAAGAGGGTTCCCTACCCCCGCCGAAAAACGTCAGAAAACCGCTTCGCGCGGTATCATATAGTGATTCTAGTTTTAACATTTAAATTGTGAGCCAAACACCATTTTGTACATAAAGAGTGGTTCTACTAAGTTTGCTTTTTAAAAAATGTCTATGCTTACGCAATCAAGGGCAACGACTTGTCACAGTTTAAGTTCACTAACTTTGACAAGTCGTTGCCCTTGATTGCGTAAGCATAGACATTTTTTAAAAAGCAAACTTAGTAGAACCACTCTTTATGTACAAAATGGTGTTTGGTTCACAATTTAAATGTTAAAACTAGAATCGCTATATGATACCGCGCGAAGCGGTTTTCTGACGTTTTTCGGCGGGGGTAGGGAACCCTCTTAAGTTCGGTGCATGATTTAATATATGTTTGAAAACGATAATCCTAGAGGGTGTTAATGGCAAAAAATGCTATTCTCTCATTTTTGCGTAAACTTTGTATATCGTGATTTGATTGCAGTACCAGAGGTAGAGTAATATTATCTGTATGTTTTATTTGGTAAAATTATTTCCAGAGGTGTTTAAATAGCAATAAATAATGAACGTGAAAACACTCTAGGTCGCATCATAACAAAACAGAAACTTTACTATGCTGATCCATTTGAATAATATGGCACTAGGATTCTTTAAGATATATTAAGAATAAATTAGTATTACATATTGATAAAAATTGATGTGATTAGGGCTAATCACAGAGTAGCTTGGTGGTTGTTTCTACGCAAATAAAAAAAGTCGTGTGACTAGCTAAAAGCTTTAGCTATAAAGCTTCAGGTAAGCAGTCTTAAAACATGTGTTAAGTTTGATATTATACTTATTATGGATGTACTATCCCTAGTCCAAAAATACTGTGATTTCCCGTTTCAAGATTCATAATTGATAGTTTTACATAATTTATCATGGCTGGAAAAGACCGCGAGGCAAGTTGTATGCGTGACACGTCAGTCAGATTTATACAAGGAAAGAGTAAAGACTAACTAGACTAAGACAGCGGCACGCTACGTCTTGATGACATCGACCTGGGCGTGACGTCAGACTTAGAAATAGGCAACACGTCATACTACAACAATCACGTCATACCACAACTACATTTCTTTTGTATTTTTTTTTAAATTTCACTCGTATCTTTAATATAAGCTATATACATCGAGGTAAAATGTCCAACCGTAGAAACGGTTTGACTCTTTAAGGACATCAACCATTGATAATTAATGCTGCTAGACCTCTCCCTAAATTTTTATAGCTGGTTGGTTTGTTGCCAATGTTTAGTGATACATTAGTGGTATTTTGTGTTTGATAATCACAATGCATACAAGTTAAATATTACTTGTGTTCATTATAAACTCAAACAAACGTATCGTTAATTACAGTGATAGTTGTGAAGTTTCTCTTGAATTTCCTACGTTGTGACACAACTGAAACCTTTACGAAGGAAGTAACTATTTACCATGTTAAGCTATATAAACTGATATAGAAATCCCGCTAATGAATAAGTGAATAACTATTACATCAATCAATAGTAACTTCTATCAACCCCCCCCCCCTCCCTATCGACAGACGGTTGGTGACTTATAATGCACGTAGCGATGTGAGATGGCTATTGACCACTCTCAACTTCAATATACGATGTGGTCATATGAGAAGTGCAAACACAATCTTTGTTTATTCGTTTGTGTATTTCGTACTAAAAACTACAATGTTGCTGTAATATAATTGGCTGAATATTATAAACACATTGTATATTGGTACTAAATAACTAAATGCTACATAGTTTGCCATCTAAGCTTTCCCTATTAACAAAATGACTAAAATTAATGAAAACGGTAAAAAGGTGTTATTCAACTCTTTCAACCTTCTAAAGCGATGAGAACTTTTAGTGTTTCAAAGTGTGAAATCAAAAGGACTTCAGTTCTATGAATGCCAGTGACAACCTTTTCAACCCGGATATGAATTCAGAATGAGAAATACTCTTTAATGTTGGCACATGTAAAATGTTTGATAGAACAGTATTGCTTTTATTTATCTTTTTAACAAGCAAAACTGGTACTGTTATAGCTTTTTAATTTAATAGATGTATTGTAGCAAGTAAATTATATTACAACGTAGACAGTTTGGTTGTACACGTTGCGCTGATTATTACTGCGTCATACCGTCTACAAAATCTAATTTTAACTTTGTATGGATGAGATATAGTTTGTTAACTAGTTAGGAATTGCTTACCGACCTACTTCAGCCATATGAGTTAGCACCATCGTAAGTTTTGCCAGTATTAGTTCACAAATAAGTTAACTACAACGAATGCTAAATTCTGTTTAATTAACTTCATACCTAATATTCTAGCTTTATTAGGTATAAATTTTCAAGTATCTTAAGTAGTTTGGGATTTCCAACTAATTTTATGACAGTTAACATTGGTGCCACGCGATAAAAATCTGGTGAATCTTTGAAACATGCTTTAAGGAATATCATTTTTACTCAAATTGAACTTAAAATAGATTATAAAATTATATTTCATCCAAACAGACTATCTCTATTAAATCTGTATGATTATGAACATTGAAGTTTGGAGTACATTGCACAAAAAAAAACTGTTATTAATTGTGGGCCTAATTGTTATTTGTTTTGCATAAATTATTCCACAGCATAAGCAATAAGAAACAGGAAGAAGTACACTCTGACTAATAGCGTTCCCCATCAATAACAACTGCTGCCTACCAACAGCTGGTCGATAACAGATAATACATTAGTGTTAGTGTGGGTTATTTACTACTCTCAACTTCGATTCATCAAACGATTGCAGTATTTGATAGCCTTTGAAAGATTTTATTTGGCTAACCATTTTATCTAAAAACTCCGATTTGTTGAAAATGTTTATCCATAGTATTATATGAAAGTATACTGGTGTCTGTCCATGTGTGCGCGTTACTAGTGCGCGTTTTTAGTTTTAATTGTTCACATTCACTACAATGAATTATTTAATAAAAAAATGTGACATTATGTCATATGAGTTTTAGATTGTTTTAACCGAGTATATTCGTCTAATTTACTAATTAGTTATATTCGAGTTCTGAAGGTCTCAGATATAAGAGAACACTATTTTATGGACGTATCTGTTAAACACCAACTGGTATAGGTAAATTTTAATCTAGCCGTCAAACAAAAAATGTTTTAAATTGTTCAAGTAAATATTGGTTTTGAAATACATGAACAAAAAGTGTTTAAGTGTCATCCAAGCCTTTCAAACATTTCAAAAGCTACGTGTTCTTTTAATGTCCTAAAAGTGTAAAATCCAAAGAGTTTTAGTCAGATGAATGTGAAACCATTTGAATTCAAAGTGAGATTTGATTCACATATTCACTATAGTACGGTTATGCAAAAGCTTAATTGTAGCGTCATATTTATGTTTTCTATAGAATGTGCATTTTTTTACAAAACTTAATGACATAGGCATTCGTATACTATGGCGTTTAAGCAACGTATTTACTGTCGTATACGTACATACATAATGCAATTAATAATTGTATGCAATCTGTACGTGCAAATACTTTTGGAAAAGGTCTTGTTTTATTTCTGTTATAAAAATATAAGATTTATTAACGAGTTCAAAATTGCCTAGAGACATTTTCAACCGTTAGTTAGCTTCGTAGACACAAGTCGTTGATCATATTAGACCGGAAGGTACTTGCCATATGCTCAATCAAGCTTATGGTTATCTATCCGCACTGTCGGTAAAGCTGTATTTACTCCTATACCTCAAGCGTACCCTACAAAATAGAAGATAGGACTCAATTAAGTTATAACGAAACCTCAATTTACTGAAACACGCCTTAATTGTTAATTTTACAAGCTATCATTTTCTTGTAGCCCATTGTTCACATTTATAAACATGATCTTTTTGTTCCTGAATTCTAATATAGAACCATTTTGATCATCAGCATTTTAAAAGTTGTATGGCATAATTTAAATTCATTGGTTCCTACTACTTAAAGAGGAAAAGGAAATTATGCTATCGAGGTCTTCCTCGTTCCAAAGACCTATCATGCCTAGTTTGCGTTGGCTACGTTTCCCAAGAACTACATAGGTTTGTCAAGTTTACATATTTACTAGTCAGCAATTGGCAACAACTAAGGACTGATCTCTATTGAACTAAAACGAAGCTAAAACGACAATGTTATCTCCTACAAGTATCCATTAATGGTAAATTTTGTCACAATGTTTTCAAACGTGCATATCCGTCCCTTACACATTGTACTAGGTAGGCTAATAGGTTTGCACTACATAACCTAAAACAAATTTGTTCCTAACAAATCTACAACTCAGTAGTTTTGCTTGATAGTAATATGAGTGAGTTGGAAATGGTGATTCTGTTAATATTTTATTTAGTCGATTTTAATGCCTTCTCCCTATTGCGAATCCCGGATAAGATGGCTGGTATCTCTTATCTATTGGTAAACTCAATCAATCTTTTCTTTAAATTGTACTTACATTTTATATATTACGTAGCCTTATTCATAGTTTCATCTCGTGTCTAGTGGTGGTCCCTTGGAACACCACAGTGGAGGAACCAGAGGTGGTCCATGTTCACGTGGTGGAGCCCCAAAGAGAAGATCCTCCTCAGAGAGATGAGGTGCAAACAACACCAACTAAAGAGCAACACCAGCACACCATGGGTGAGTCTCTCGCACACCAGTTCTGTGTCATATTTCTATTCCCTCTGTCTTGAAAGGTTTTAAAAAATAAACTTAGTATGACCTTTAGTTGTTGATATAACTAACTACACAGCCTATTCCCGTGATAAAGGTGTGCCTATGTTCACAATAAAAGTTAGACGTACTTAAAACTTGAATTGAGCCAAAGGTTGAGTCCGCTGATTACTGAGTTTTGTGGAACACATGGAACTATGTTTTCTTAACCAAATTGAAGGATACCTTGTTGTAAGCTATAGCTTTGTACTGTATAACCAATACACAAAATAGTACCAATTGGATCACCAATTAACTATTGCAGTAACCAAATCTAAGAAAGGCATGTATTTCTTAATTGTGATATTATTAATTTTTTTCTGCGAGTGGCTTATATTATGGTCATATATGGTCAACATTGATGATAAATATGTGAATTTAAGAAAAATCGCAAAAGTGTGAAAATACACATCAAACTAAAATACAAATAACTCATACTTTCGCAAAAACCTGTTCATTGAGGGCAACACATTAAGGAAAGCTGTAAAGGTTCTGGGTAGTTTCATTACATGAACTATTTTTAGTTGTAGAAATATTTTGCCATTCTTTTATTTAACTCAAGTTTTGTATGGACCTAAACATTTCTTAATTGCGTCAATATACAGTAAATGAAAACATTGACGATACGACCATGTAATCGTGTTTGATCTTTTGGTTGACAAAAGAGTTTAAAACTTAAATATATAATACGTAGAATATATTGAGCAAGTTGCAGACATTATGCTATGCAGTTGAGTTGCTAATTATGCTATCACGTGGTTTAGCTACCAGTATTGTTGATATCCTTATGGTTACGGAGGCGACAGGTTTCACTTCACCAAGAACCATCATCAGGCTTCACAAGGAGGAAAACCATCTCTTCAGTCTAGACCTGAACTGCGGCCGAGTTGTGTTAACTTTCTTGTAACTTGTGTTGAGTGTTCGTGTTTTAAAGTTATGTATAATATGACCGACTACGTGTTTAAATAAAGAGATAGGAATAAAATAAACGGTATCAGCATTCTGACACATACTTTCTCCCATAAGTTTGTCAACAACCTTTATCATGTGTAAGCGGTGAGAGTAAATATACGGAAATGGGATTTGTACAATTTTGTTAAGAATTTAAAGGACTATAACATACTAAATTGTTATCAAAATTGTTCGAGCCAATTTTGGGAAATCCGATTTTTCCGTTATTTTATGGGGTTTTTATGGGGAAATAACATAATTTACAATAACTTTTGAACCGTAATTTTTACAGAAAAGGGATTTGTACCATTTTGTTCAGAATATAAAGGACTATAACATAGTAAATTTTTATCAAAATCGTTCGGGCCATTTTGGGGAAAATCCTATTTTTCCGTTATTTTATGGGGTTTTATGGAAAAATCCCCATCTAAAATCAAAATTTATAAAAAATTGAAAAAAGACTATCAAAATTGTAAGAACCATAACCTACTATGTTAAATCAAAACTGTATTTTTGTCTAAAATCATATTTTTCGTTATTTTATGGGGTTTTATGGGAAAATAACATAATTTACCATAAATTTTGAACCGTAATTTTTACAGAAATGGGATTTGTACCATTTTGTTCAGAATTTAAAGGGCTACAATATACTAAATTTTAATCAAAATCGTTCAGGCCGTTTTTTAGAAAATCCGGAAAAAAACGCCTGGAGATACCATAGATTAGAACCTACATACCAAATTTCATCGAAATCGGACCACAGGTGTAGTCTCTAGCTCTGTACACATCCAGACACACAGACACACACACACACACACAGACATCACTTGGAAAACCACTTTTTTGGGTCCAGGGGGACCCAAAACGAATATATCCACTCAAAACTCAAACTCGAAAATTTTGACGAAAACAATACTCTCTCCATATACTATGGTATAGGGGGAGAAAGTAAAAATACAGTTACATACATGTTGGAACGTGAAGGGACTTGGTTGCACAGGTCGTTAGATATCTTTGGATGGGTAGGTAAGAAGTATATGTAAAATATTCATAACTGTATTAGTGTATTCACCTTCAACAATGTTCTGGCAGTGTCTCCAGCGGCCGCCGCACCGCGCCCTGAGCCAGAGTCCCGCCAAGTCCTAGGCCTGGTGATAGGCATGTTGTTGGCAGTCATCGGTCTTCTTCTGGGCGCCATCGTGTTCGTGGTTGCTCGCAACCGCAAACTGAAGAGCGCCGTCGCTCATCCTACACTAGGGCGACCCTTCCCTTGCGATAAGGGGCTCAGTCTTAACATGAAGGTGAGACCCTCATGTTTGAAATTACTATCATCTTAGGAGAATTTTCATCAACATCTTCTTGACTATTGATACAAATATGCATCCCATTTCCTTATTAAATCTGTAGTCAGTTTTTGAATATGAATTGCCATAATTGAAGCCGGGCAGATATAAAGGGATGTTTATTAACTCAAATATAAATTTAAATATTTGGGGTTAACTATAACTTATAGCTCAACTTTAACTATTGCTAAAAACCTAAATAAAAACCGAATGTCAACGGTAGCATTTCCATGGGAGTCTCATTCAACTATACTGTATAGGCTTACTCATTGAGTTCACAATTTGTGCTGGTTTATAAGTGAGATGTCTAGTTAATGTACAAGAATAAATTGCTAGCATACGATTCTATCTCGACTGCAAGTTAATATACAGTATTTTACAGTATTTGGGTTCCTAATATTTTTGAGAAAAAAAATTAATTGGATAGAATATTTTTAAGGATATCTGTTTTTTTCATTCACTGGTAATGAAGTACCTATAAGATTGTTGCAATAAGCGATTCTTCTACTGAAAGTATTTGCTTTATTTCTAACTTATTCGATTATCCATACCAGTGTTATTTGTAAAAGAACCAAATATGTTTCAAGTATAAACTGTTCAGATCTCTGAAATACTTGTGCATATGCTAAAGACCAAACCAGATATACCGAAACACGAGAAGACTAGGCTTCTCTGAATCACATCAAAGTCTTTTGATCATCCAATGTATGTAACCTACACCCGTAAAATCCTACAGGTGATAAACAGGACATACTATTTGACCTGACCCAGCCTATCAACTCTCTACCCTCACGTACTTGTGATGTCACCTTGTATCTTCCCCCCACCCCACCATCCACAAGGAACGGCCTAAACCCTATTCATAAGAATAACCTCGGTAACAAGACTGTCATGGGGATTATGAAATATGACATTTTATTAAGGTTGACTTATTATCGAGGGTCTTGTTATCGAGGTTCCACCGTACCGTTATAATTATTAAGCACACATCACTGTTTTCTGTTTGTTTTGTTTTATTTCCTTGTTATTCACCTCACACACATCAGCACTGTATGTCTATGTTGTGACAGTATGTTGAAGTGCCTGCCTTACCACAGGACGTGCAGATGAGGGTGAATGTCCACGCCAATGGACACGTCTACGGTCAACTGTCTATGGACGAGGATAAGTGTCAGCCTCCTCCACCGTTGTACCACGAACCTTTCAAACCTACAGACTACTCTCACACTCTGCCTGCAGACACGCTACACTACCAGATAGGTATGTGTTTAGTCTTGTAGCATTAATGAAGTTTAAAACAGGTATAAGAAAAACAAATGATATGAGGACTGCAATTGTAGAGGTAGATGTGTGAAATATGTTGAAGAGATTCAATGACGACAGTTAAATATGTTCAGGAATGTTAAGAGAAAGGCGTAAGGCCGAATCATACTTTAGGTTTTGATTGAGTTCCAGAGGGAAGAATAAAATGTCATTGGGACAATTTTGGCATTAAGGAGGTGATAAGTAGACGAGGGGCTGCGCCAAGTAGGCTGGAATAACTTCATGTAACCTGTGAGTGGTGGGAGAAAGTAGGAATTATACAACAGAAAGAGTAACTTGACAATTAAAATTGCTGAATTTGTACTTGTATATTTTATAGAAACTGAGCTCCAAATGAGTTCAGAGATTGTGTATTTTCATACGTTTTATCATTTACCAAATCCACGATGGTGCTTAAGAATATCTTATATTATAATATGTTGCCAAATGTTTAAAATCAGTTATGCAATTTCTTTCTTTGAAAACGTTTAAGAAATACATAGGTACACATACTGTTCTTAATTTTTCGTTAATTACACAAACTATTCAAATGCTCTAACAAAGTAGTTTAGGTCAATCTTCACTGAATGACCACAAATATATAGTTAAGGTTGGCAAATTAAGACAGAGTTTAGGTAACAGGTCACATTAGGTGTGAATGTTTATAGCTATGGAACAATCACAGGCAGGTCTATTTAACATTCCCTGCCAGAGCATATTGTACTTAAACAATATTTCATCCTATCTTACAATTCAAAATGATAATCCTACTATTTGCCTTTTCAAGTTTCTCCTATAATATTGAGCACCTCCCGATAACATGTCCAAGAAATTACACATTATTTCCCCATATTAAGTAATCAAATTGACCAGTCCTTTAAATTCAAAAACGTTGCATCTTTATCATAATAATTCCTTTTTGTAAATGCTTATCAGCCTACAATTAGGGTCAAATAACTTATTTTGTTTTAAATTATCTATTTTATTTCATACTACTCAATTGTATTGAACAAGACAAATATACCACAACGATGAATCAGATTTACATCTTTTTTTAAATATTAATATAGACTTCAAAACATTTTTAAATAGCATAAATTAAATTAGTAATACATTTAAATCATTTTCTAAGATCTTCTTGAAACTAAATACTATCTAAATCAAACCTTATCTAATGTAGGGTGGAAACTACAAAAAATAGTTTGCTGATCACAAAGAAGTAGACGAACCAAAATGAGGCCATCCGTTATATGGCAGATCCGGTCCATTTTTGTAACCTCTGCTTTTTGGCTGTACACCGAGACAACCTAACATAAATTGACTCAGCACATGCCCTAGGTCCCTTACTACTTTTGTTTCCTTACTTATCTATTAACTAGCTTGACCTTGCTTACCCAGATTAAATTACTGCTCGGTAAATTACAAGCAATCTAATGCGTTCATTATAAATATTTAGATCTAAATTGGTTTTTATCACTAAATTGTCATCGTAACTAGTATTTTTCCACAGTAAATGTATTTCTAAAACATTGGCGTTACAATATATCATTCAATTAAGATCAAAAATAAACTCGTATGAATACGGATTTAGCATCTCGGTACTATTACAAACAATATAAAAGAAGAAACCTACTACCCCTTTTCATGCAAGGTAGACCCTGATTTTCATAACAAGGTTACTGGGTTACAGAGTACAAAATGGTTATTAAAGCAAAGCTTTCATTTGAGAAGATTCTGTTATTTGTATAAAAACGTTACGCAGTTAAATATTTCAATAGGTAATTAGCTCTCAAAATAGTTTAGAGTGCTACATAATAAACGCTTACTGTAATTAAAATCAGCAGTGACTGAAATAATTGTGGATGGAAAATGTTTCTGAATTTACATTCAATTAATGAACCTAATCGTTGTTTGACCGATCCAAACTATTCATTTGTAATTTCTCTCAAAGCTCGCATTGTTCACGGTAAACAATTACTTGTATTGTCAGAAACAGTTGTTGAATTAGTTAATTAATTAATCAGCAAACGCAACTGCATTTCTGCGAAATGACACAATGCAAACAATACACTAAATCCACTTCGATCCATTCCGTTGTTTATGCTTTTGTATATCATATTGTTAATACTTACAGAGTTTTGTAGAAGGCAGTGAACAAATATGACATATTTTCCACTGTACAAAATGCAAACGGTCTAGATGCCAACCATATTGGCAAATTGCTTGGGAACATTCTCCATGGGGTAATGACTACGTAAAACGTGTTTTAGTGTAATGGCGGGAATACATTAGCAGACAGACTGACAAACAGGTGGCGCCAGCCGTCACTTACCCCCCCCCCCCCATAACATCAACCCCCACAAAACCACCGCCCCTGACATTACGTCATTATGGCATTTCACTGGAAGCTCGGCCTAAATGTCGTATTTTGTCGCACAAATCGACAGATATCAAACAGCTGATTCCTCATTTTCGGCTTTATATTTTTTGGTTCTTTAATTTTTCTTCCATGTGTATTTCATACTGTATTTTTCACGATGTCAGAAAGTAAATATAATCAAAATAATTTGAAGTATAAAAACATTTGCCTCTTTTGCCTTATATGATGATTTACCTAACTGTAAATAAAATATACTTTATATAGTTATCAAAAACAAAATTGTAGTTACATTTTTCTTTTATATACCTCCTCCCTTTACCTACCATGTCATCAATGGCTCCTTAAGATATACAAGAGGAAAACTTTAAATAAAATGATTGTCGGGTAAATAAAGGGTGTCACCGAACTCTCTACCGACCTTTTAAGGTATTATTCCTGCACAAAAGACAATGCTTTACCTGGGTAGTTTTCATGTTTTTTAAGTTTTTAAATCCTTAAAGGCCGCCATTTTGAAAGTTTACACTTTTAAATAGGTGTTTGCATTATAAATCTGTGCACCTAATATCAATTTACTACAGAAAGCCGTTAACTAATAACTAATAGTTTTGTAACAAATAAATGGTGACTGTATGGGTATCTGAGTTTTGACCAATTTCTACTTTATTTTAGTTTGTCTTTGATCCAGGAATGATGTTTTTAAAGTTCAGTTGATAATTCGGGGACACCATGTTTATTGTGTAAACATGTATTAACTAGGGTTTTATATCATACTTTGTAGTCAAAATAAATATTTTCTAACTAAACTCAATGCTACTGTTTGTAAACCGCAGACTTAGATAATGTAACATATTAAATAATTAACTGCTGTCATGTGAAGCAATATGTTTACCAAGACTTAGTTTGATTTTAAGATGATTATTCCTAAAAGCTAAGTTAACTCTGTTATATGGCCCCAGGTTCTATTAGTTTTAGTAGTTACAGGTTACAGATACTGTAACTTATATAACCTATTGGTCTTGTTTACATTCAGCATAAAATAGTGTTGTATTAAGCAAATTATTCTGATACCTTGGTTTATTTGTTAACTAGTTTAATGTAATTTATATTTAATTCTTGATCATTCTGCATTTTTATTATTTATACAATTATGTACAAAATATATATTATAAATATTCTGAGTGTTTTAGTTACGATTATTGTCTGTACACGAAAGTTTTGTCAATTTATTTATTAAAAAAATAGAATTTTAAAATAAAATCAATCTTTTAATTGACCATCTCCAAAATTACCCCAATATTTAATCATACCTGGCCTCAATGAGCATGATTTATTTGATTTAAACGATCAATCAACAGAGCTCCAAGCTTCCTAATTTGGGAAATCAAAAACTCAATTTCCACAATCGTATTTGCATTTAATTTAAAACTGCAAAAAACTGACAGGTGATTAAATTGTCATTGACATTTGCAATGGGATAAATAAAGTATTTTATTCATACCATTTATTCATTGATCACTAATCAACAAGTACTTTATGTTGATTGTTCCATGTAACTGTGAGTATTTATGATTCTACAGGTGGTGAACGAGACAGACGAGCTGACCTTACCCTACCTCTCAACTCTGCTCTCTACCCTCACGTCCCCGTGACGTCACCGATGTATCCTTCCCCCACTCCTAAAACACCTCAGCGTCCTCTACCTCCGCTACAGGACCTGTTCCCTAAACCCCCTCCAATACCACCGCCTCCGGAGGACTACTACGCCACGGACATTTGCAATGTGAGTAACTCTATCATGTTTTGTTTTATGTTTTGGTAACATTGTTTGGATTAATACGCACTGTAATATTTTCAAGATAAATTATTGCTTAAGTAGAATAGAGTATGGTGAAAAGATAAAACTAATTCTTATTTACTGCGTATACAAATATCTAAATCAAAATATGCCTAAAAGATAAATTTTGAAGGATCGTGATACAAAATAAACTACACAAATTAAAGTTAAACAAAATAAAAATAAAAATTTATTATAATAAAATTATAATATTGAAATTTAAATTAAATAAGTCATAGGTCATAAGTCGTTTATTCAGCAAAATTAACATAAAATGCATTAGCTACGTCAAAACAAACAAAATAAAATACAATATTTACATAACAAAAAAACTCTCTTGTATAAATTAAAACTGTCAACTATGCTACTATATTTACACTACCAGTTCAAGGGCAAAGAAATTCACAAACGCTGCAAAAGGCATTATCCAGCAAAAAATTCTTTAGTTTTTTCTTAAATCTATTTAAATCCTGTTCGGACTTTAGGAAAGGAGGAAGGTTATTGAAAAGCTTGATGGCATTGTATTGAAAATTCTTTTGGAAGAATGACGTTGAGTGTTTAGGAATTGCAAGGTTGGAAGAATTACGAAATGGATATTTATTGTTGAGCTGTGAACAAAAAGAAGATATATTTTTTTCTGGTGAAGGGTAATGTTTCAAAAATGTATATGGATGGAAAGGTTAGAATTCGGAATTTTTTGAAAATGTCTTTGTAGGACTGACGTTTGGGTAGGAAAAATATAATGCGGATGGCTTTCAATTGTTGTCGGAAAAGAAACTTCGTCTTTTCACTTTCACTACCCCAGACAGGGACAGCATAGGATAAATATGGATATACAAGACCATAATAAGCAGACATGAGGACTTTTGAATTTACTGTTTGGCCAAGCATACGAAGCATGGAAATACCAACTGATATTTTTGTAGTGTGGGGAAATAACTCAACTACTACGCTTCACATTTTTTAACAAAAGTTACTTCACTTATTTAGATTTTTGTATGATTCAATCATGTAATACCTAGATAATTTCTGAATAAATTCTACATAATACATTATCATTTGTAGTTTTCAAACTAGTACAAACCATACTATCAAGGTGGTGTTGAATATAATATTATATTTTAAAAAGTTAACAAAACATGCCTAGAATTTCGTGTTATCAGTTTGGAATCTCCTGATACTAAATAACCAGAGTATAATATTTAACCTAACATGATCCAATGATCTAACTTAATACATAACAAAATCTAATCAAACACCACATATACCATCCTAGAAGGATCTAGCATAACGTAGCTAGATGATTGTTATTAATTCTGAATAAGTGTATTAGGCCTACCCCCAATCAACTAAGGGAACTCCACTACTGGGCATATTTTAACTGAAGCAAAGGTAGTTAGATGCCAAGCGAGAGCGTTTCCCTACCCAGATGCCGTTCGTCATTGGACTATGAATTAATGATGCTATAAAACAAAAATGTCGAAATTAGATGGTAACAAGACCGCGGTTTGAACCACCCCATTTCAAAACGAAAAAAACCACCGGCATGGAAAGGTTGCAAAAAATGCATAAACCTAACATTTCCTAGCCTAAGGTTGAATCAAGTTGGATGCACAATCTTGGGATTTTAAGAGTAAAAAATAACCTGGCGTGACATTACATCTAGTCTAACATTGCATGAACTAGGTTAAAATCTCCTAATTGCATGCATTCATGAACACTCAGTATTAACCTAAAGCGTATTCGTGATTTTAAGATTCACCTCTACGTTTCAGGGAGGTCCTCCAGCTAACTCCCCGGCAGCTCCTCCCTCCGCTAGTAGTCAATCCTCCAACTCCTCTCACAGTCACACTACTTGTAGACGACTCCCCATACTGTCGCTCCCGTGGAGTCATCTACAACTAGGCCCACAGTTGGGTGTGGGTAGGTTTGGTGAGGTAAGTTGATTGAATTGGTGAAAAGAGTGATTTATTGGGTATTTATAATGCTGAACTTACTTTTAAAGTGGATGAGGGATAGTTGAGTAAATAATCGTGTTCTGTACATACAGTGCATGCTGGTAACTAAACAATAAATCAAGATTCTTTCAACAGAAGTGGAAATATAGTACATCAATGGATAGAGAACTTAAGTTTATTAAAGTTTTAGTGAAAAAAAGCAAATATATTATTCTTTACTTATTTTTAAAGTACAACCTGGTACCTACATAAATGTACTGAAGTTTTAGAATATGAATATATAGTTCCATCAGGGTTTCCAATTTAAGTAAAAGATTTAAATCTAACAAAGGTTTGCTTAAAATAATACAATAAGCTGTTATGAAAATGTAATACTTGATATTACTCAAACATGTATTAATTAATATTTATAGTATTACCAGCAGAGTACCCGTCCTTCGTACGGGGTTTGCATGTAAGTTTAAAATGCGTAGTGCAGTTATACTCAAGCTTTGCATTTGCAATGGGGGAGGACACAGTTTGATTAAATTTGCTTCTTTAAATTGACGGTGTACTATAGTATTACACATCTACCAACCATAATGTTCTACCACTTCACACTTAAACAATAAAGAAAAATAAATTATAAAAAATTCATAAAAATTACAAATTATTCATGACATAAAAAATAACTGTAAACAATCCTTCTTTGACAGTTCTCATTGCGTATCAAAGTTTGTTGTTGCTGCTTAGTTCAAATTAGCTGTTTACATAAATGCAAAAATAATTTTAGTGCCGCACCCTGTTGGTAAATCTTGTATAGAACCAACTTTTTTAGTTGAAACAGCTGACTGAATGCTTTAATTCCCTTTAAATATTAATACTCATAAGGTTAACATGGGGAACTGCAGAGCCACTGGGGCGGAGCCCGAATGGATTTTTGAGATAATAATATACCTATATGTTAATCAGGAATGTAAGCTATCATCATGCCAAATTTCAGCCCAATCCGTCCAGTGGTTTATGCGTAATTGAACTTCAAACAAACAAACAAACAAACAAATAAACAAACAAACACACAAACTTTATAATATTTATAATATTAATCACATTTATAATATTAGTAAGATTGTTCTGTTACATAGAATCCAAAATAGTCATTTACAAATTTTATATGCATATCCAAGATAGATTTGTGGTTATTTTAAACACTTTAGACGGTAAGGTTTAAAACCCGAATTTATTCACAAAAATAAAATAAGACTCATATTTAAATTTATGTACATAAGTCGATTGTATGTCACTTTGGACACAAATGTTCACAAACAGCATTTGCCCTCAGGTTCACCAAGCGGAAGTGACGGAATGGCCTGAGGCCTGGAGAGGGCTTACAGACTGTACAACAGTAGCAGTTAGAAGCCTTAGGCCTAACGCTTCAGAGGCCACCAGGTAAGCATTTACGTTAATGCTTTAGTTTGTAAGCATAATGATGTACTGATCTTTAATTTCAAGGACAACTCTTTACTATACTATATATTCTGATTGGTGGACTAATATTGATTTAATTCAAAGTTCTCCTCTTCTTATCGATCCTCTCATTTTATTTTACTTTGTACCCACAAGACCTTATATTCTTTTTATGCTATATTTTTTCAATTGATTTTTTTTGTGAATTCTACTACAATCTTCAACTTCTTGTACAGCCAACTTTGACGTATCCATTAAAACCCGTGCAGAAAAAAATTACTAACTGCTAAAAATCACAACTTACAAATATTGGCATTCAGATTTATTTTATCACACCCTCCACACTCTCTTTTGCACCCAGAGGGTTTCATACATATCTTGCCTATGTACTAATTTTTGTTTTTGCAGGAGAGAGTTCATAGAGGAGGCCGAGGCTGTATGGCGACTGGTGGACCCTAACCTCGCAATGCTGGTCGGAGCCGAACTGACCAAAGACCCTCTCTTCCTCGTGGCACAATATTCACCCCTGGGAGATCTCAACCAGTTTCTCCAGGATCACATGGCCGAGACCTCGGCACACCTTCCTCCTAATGCCAAAACCCTCAGGTAATATCCAGGATAAAGCTGGAGCTGGTGTAATATACGTTTGATCGCAGATACAAGGTACAGTGAGCAATCACAACTCCCTGAAATCATTTCGACACGAGTCTCACCACTGAAAGTTGTCTTCACTGCTTTTTTCTGCAGTTTGAATACTCTTTTTGGCCTGTTGATTGTTCAGCTACCCCACAGTCTTATTCGTATTCTGAAATAGTTGGCCAGGGTAGATTAGACCAATATGCGCCTTTAAGAGCACTTAATTTGGGCAAAGTTTTACAGGATTACGTAAAACAAAAATCCCATATTTAATCTGGGCACAAATGTGAACAACTTGGTCTCCCTATTTTAGCCCTCTGTGTAGGTGCATCCCCAGCAATTTGACTGAATCTGCAACCTCCAATACATGACCAACCATCGCCACAGGTGGAATGTCTGTTTCTGGTAGTGAAAAGTAGTAAAACTCAATAGTTTAAGTTGTATTTATGTATTTTACATTTTTAAATTGTTTCTCTTTTCCAGTTATGGTTGCCTTATATACATGGCGACCCAGATTGCTTCAGGTATGAAGTACTTGGAGGCCATGAAGTTTGTACATAGAGATCTAGCCACGAGGTATGTACAGTTTACTTTTTATTCTGTTACAACTACATTTTAGGTTAATCACGTTCCAATGCTACATAGTTTTCCACTAAAGAAAATAGCATTTCAATTAAATTAAAAAAGTTCCATTCAATCATTGTTTACAATAAACCAATATTTAATCTTTACTTAGCTATCAGCTTGATTTATCGATTTCACTGATCAATCAACAAAACCCAATGCTTTATAGAATTCACTCAGCTTTATTTAGGGAATTAAAAAACTTATTTACCTTCAATATTATAACTTACATTTAATGAAATTATATTAAAATTAACAGATTATATACATTAGTAAATGTATTATCTTTCCCAATTCAAGGTAGATTAATTGATAATCATTCCACTTATCACATATAGTTTGCCAATTTGAATACCAGTTATTCTTAAGTTGGAGGCTTACAATGATGCCGGGCAACAATTTCTGGACGAATTTAATACATGTGGCTAAATGTACTTACACCTAACCATACAAATAGTGTATACGAAAGCACGAAGAAATTGTCTTTCACACAACAACAAAAATAATCATAATTCTCTCAAATAACAGGTTCAAAAAGTTTACACAAATGACTTTTGAAAAAGCATATGATTTATTTTACAAAATATATTGTTAGTTTTTGTACACATACCATTTACTGTATTTTTTTCAATTTTTCAAAGGTAAATACAATAGTTTGATACCTCTTGGTAATATTCGGTATGTAATTGACTAAAAAAAAACTTTCTGTTGATAGAAACTGCCTTGTGGGCGAGAAGTTTCAAGTGAAGGTATCAGACCTGGGATTGGGGCGGAGTCTTTACTCAGCTGACTACTTTGATCTTGACGGCAAGGAAGCTCTGCCTATAAGATGGATGTCTTGGGAAGCTGTCTTACTGGTCAGTAATCTAAAAAATAATATCTTTTGTATATCAAAAATGCACGGCTGATTTTTCTGAAGTACAAAAATGGTTCCCTCTACAACTAAGTAAAGTATACTTAAAATCTATTGTAGTGTAACTATTTATGCAAAAGTATAGAAAATATCATGGTCCAGGAAAGAACTGTTATCTAAAAAATGTTTCTTTTTTATTTTAATAATTGTTTTTTAGACCACTCTTTTCAAAATCGACTGTATTTTTTATTTAAATATAAGTATTAAGAACAAGCGTTAGAATTACAAGAATTGACTGGAGACCAATCGTTAGACTATCAGTAGCTAACACAATAAGCTTCAATTTATTTTAGGCAACAAATAAATTACCGAATTAAAGAGTAAATAAACTCATTATTTCTGAACTTACCTACTTTCTGTGATCTCTAAAGATTACTTTTGACATTTGTGCTTCGTATTATTCACCTTTGTAATGCGCTGACCGAAAGGTATAATTAAACATAGGGTTTGTGTAACAGGTTACATAAATGTGATGAATAATTTAAATTAGTAGAATGGAGACGTTATAAAATAATAAAACCTAATACAAAGAATAGATCATTACATTAGCTTATCATCAAAATATTGTATTTATTAATCCACCACATAATAAGATAATTTGTTTGTATTTCATATACTGAAATTTGTTAAATGAATACTCTCTCACATTATAACTTTATGTGAAAGGTAACAGGGCCATTTGAATGTTGTTAATATTGTGTGGATTAATCCAAAAACAGATTACATGTTAATTGAGTAATTAACAAACACTTTAGTTACCTTTATAATTGAGAGTTTTAGAAAGCTTAAACGATTCATGACATTTGCATGTGCAATTGTAATTATCTGGTATTATTGGATAAATGTCTTATTAGAAACCAAATCATAATTGATTAATATTGGGGATGAAAGAGTGATATGAACATTATTAGCTAGACTTAAATAAAAAATAAATATGAAATTAAACATTGAAAGCTAGTTATTAACACAAAATTGGGTTAGATTTGTAATATTCGGACGGGTAGAGTTAGGTCATCTTAGTAAAAAATTTGCAAGACCAAGTTATTGAAGTTTAATGTAAATTGCAAAAGCAGGGTAAGGTTACTTAAATTTAAGATAGTTTAATTAGGTAAAACTAATGTAGGTCAGGTTAGTTTTGGTCACAAATCTCATAATCAAGTATACGGTAGATCAAACAAAAAGTTTTCATAGTATGTTGTAAAGTTTACATGTGTTTACGTTTATAAAGCACCAAACGAGTGATCTAAGCTAGAAGTTATGTAGTAATATTTGTGTAGGTTCTATTCGAACCACTTGAAATGAGATTATTGTGTGTATCTTGAGCACTAAATCACCTCAATTTTGAATCTATATTTGCCTCTACTTATCTCAAGCACAGCTGAATGTTCCAAGTCCATTTCTTTACTGGCCACAATCCAGGTGCTTGAGGTTACATGGGCAAAACCTCTCCCTTGGCCTGTTTCATAAATTCTAGTTAATGGTAGAGATTACACTTTTTAGATGCAATTTTCTTATCCAATAAGAGGCCTATAAAAAGTTAGTGGATTCTGATTTTTTTTTCTACGGTTAACCATTCAACTCGAAAAGTCTAAACAAGCTATAATAAATTCGTAAGGTCATCGAGATTATCTTTACAATGCAGCATTCACTTACAATATTCATAAACTAGATTTTTCTTGAAATCATAATTACCACCAAACTAAGCTAATATCTTCGAAATTAACTAACACAATATATGAACAGTGTCATTGTTCACATACACTAGTAAAGAATAAAGTCAATAATATTACGCATCTTCATAATTAATGGAAAAGAAACTATTATGTACTATGTTTTAGTGAGCTTTTGATTGAGCTGTAATATGGTCGGTTTTTGTATGGCATTTCACATGATTTATACCAAACTGGGAGACTAAATTCTTTTGTCTCTTTATTCCGTAATATAAATATTCAAATAAAACGTATTTTAGTCTGAAAACACGCCAGATGAGTGAAACAAAAGACATTTAAAATCAAACGTTTGGGTTTCTGTTAATAATTGTAGTATTTTCATTTCAATAACAGTTCTGAAGCGTTCATGCCCTTATTGATAGAGCATCTTATTTCATAAAAACTTTCAGTGTGTTATTTTAGTAATTCAAGAAATTGACATGAGTTTGAAGATGACTCTTTAAACAATTTTAGATATTATTTCTAGAGATTAAGATTAAGCTATAGTTAAATGAATAAGATGCATTAACTGAAACTAAAGCTTTGTCTTAAAAGTGGACATAATCTCTATTTACCTGATTAAAAAAATATCAACACTTTCTTGAACACTTACTCCATCAACACTAGTATTTGCAAACAAAGAACTTTCCATGCCATATGCAACTTATTTGACTTCAAAAAGCAAGACGCAAAACAAAAGCTGTACTAGTATTGCATTTCCTGTTTGTTAGGCTGTCTTGTAAATACTAACAAATATTGACAATTTTGGACTCTAAGGGCAATTTCAAATGGTTGGTTTTCATATTTAAAGCTATTATTGATTATGTTTATTTACCTAACCCGCCATGTTAAACTTCCCTATCCCAAGCGTGATGTATACAATTTCCTTACTTCTCGAGTGATGTAAAGTATCAAAAACTCACTCGGTGATGTAAAGAAACCCATTTAAATAACATTGAGTGAAAAACGTACCTCTATGGAGCCAACGGCGTTCAACGCTAGAAATCAGCTGTGCGCTTGAATGTTATTGTTATGCTTTAAAGTATTTTTTTAACCTAGCTTTTGTTTGTAAAAGAACGTTACTGTTAGAAGATGAGTGGAATGGATAATTAAAAAATATTGTACGTAAACCCATGTATATTGTCGGGTCAGGTAAAATCTTGTACGTTACACGTTACGCAAGAGCGTGTTTACATCACTGAGGTGAATTATGCAACTCGCTTCCGCTAGTTGCACAACATTCCCCTGCGTGATGTAAAAACGCTCTTACTACACTTGTAATGTAAATAGTTATTACAATTTTTCTTGAATTGCTTTAACCGTGTTTTTAATAACTTTGTTCCGTTCACCAACTGCATCTCTATCTATAAAAGTTAGATTTTTGTTATTTAAGACTGTTACGAGGAAAGTAAAAAATATATAATCACTCTGCACATAATACGGACAATGTGATTAAAAGTTCATCATATAGGCTACAGTATCACCAATAGCTAAAACATTATAATTTACACTTCATACCTCAACAAAGTTGTTTTCACAGCAAACAAATTAACTTCACCAACACTAAATCAACAATGGGAAGCAATTAGTGTTGAATTCAATGTCTGTTCAAATCGTTAACTATTCCGAGAAATGCTGTTCAGCGCAGAATGAAGTAAATGCCAGAAGCGACAATGGCGTCAGCTGATCACTTTTTGATTGTTGTTCTGTGGCCTCCAAAGCGATTATTTCCGACCTGCAGCCACTGTTGAACATTAGCTTACTTTGAGAAGATATTTAACCCTCATTTGAACTTATTATGTAATGTTTAGTTCGTAATTCATCGTGTTACTATTTGCACGTAATTGTTGGTTAACCACTATTGAGTAAGATACAATAGTGTACGTTTCTTTGGAATTAATTGAAAAATTAAGTTCGTTTGCTGTTTTAGGATTGATGGGTTTGTCACGTATTGCTCTCAAATATATTTGGAATGATCATTGTTTTGTACTTATCTATTTGATGATTTTATAAATCAATAAAAGTACTGTAAGTGTGGTATAAAAACACCTTATTTTCAAAGATATATTCAATATACAAAGATTGGTTTATTGACTAAATTATCAACGTTAAACCTAACAAAAACAATGTCTTTTACATTGACATTATGTTGTTGTTCACAAAATATACGTTAATTCCCAAACTTCTGTACCTCACCACTACTACTGCAAATATTTATAGGAATTTCCGACAAATAAAACTACCACTACGTAGAATTCATTGTGCACACTAATGGAAAGAAACCCCAGGATCAGTCTTAATCTTTTCATGAAATCTCCGGCTAATGATTAACTTCCAAAGCTATTTAAAAGCTTAATTGATTATCCAATTGTACATCAATCACCAACAGCAAATACTGAGGAAAAAACTTCCTGAGGTATTGTAAATCTTAACTTGCAACTTTAAAACTACATAATTCGTAATAATACAAAGGGACAGTTTTATTCTTGACAACGTTAAACGTCACTCAACTACTAGTATACTAATCAAGAAGCTCCCAATGAAACATTATAATCTGTTAAAAGTTTAAAAAAATGTAGCTTTAAAACAGAAACATCAGTCTTTAGGTGTTCATTATTGAGCTTAACAATATTTTTTTCATCAGAAGAATCGTGCAGAATAAGACGATTTCACTATCTAAATCGTCTAGTCCAGTAACGAAATTATCGCAGGTGTAATGAAAAATATTCTTTGTATCACAAGTAGGGCGTATTTTTGTTACAGGGGAGATACAGCAGCAAGAGCGATGTCTGGGCATTCGCTGTCACTCTCTGGGAGATTCTGACGTTTGCCAGAGAACAGCCCTTCGAGGAGTTGGGAGACGAGAGGATAATAGACAATGTCACTCACTTCTACCAAAACGATGGCAAACAGGTTGGTTACTGTGGTCGTCAGTCTGGTATGATTACATGTTATGATAAAGTTCCCTTCTCATATTATACGTTTTATTGTGATTACAGATGACAAAACCAAATTCAATTACAGTTATTAATACTCACCTAATTAAGTTCAATCATGAATGCAAAAAAAGGGTGCATATTTAGAAAACAGAATGTTATATGCTTTTAATTTACGTCTTTTATTTTAACTGTGTCTTCCAGCTTGGAGAGGCCATGGAACTGTGATACAATAAATAAATATATTAAAAGCCCATTCACTCTTTACCAGAAAACAAATAGCAACGTAAAAGTTAAATGAAAAATACATTTGGTGATTAAATATAGATATTGGATGAGTAAGTACTGTTGGGTCCTAATAATAACGATTGGAACTGCTTAAAAACTCTCAATGCTAGTTGTTTTATCAGTTAGAGATTTGCTCCTAGCAATACAACTGAAATTAATGACAACAAACATCATCTAATTGCTTGTGTTTGTACAACTGTGTAATCGTGTTTTGTTTGTATTGTTGTTAAGTCTTAAGTGTTTTACCATGTATATTTTTTGAAGGACCGAAGCTTCATGACTCAAAAATAATACGCTGGCCGTTTTCTTTTCATTTAGTTAACTAAAATAGCCAGTAAGTACTTCAACTAAAATGGTTGAATTAAGTTTCAGTACATAATTCAACCTAACTATCTATAAAACCGAACTATTTTTATTGCATCTGTAGAACAAACTTATATAGTTTCTATTTCAACATTACATCAACTAAATTATCTAAAAACAAATTTCTTTTCATACAAAACCAAATTGTTAAAACCTAGGTTATGTATGGTACTCAAAAGTACTACCTAGTCCTAAATTATTTAAACATTTACATTTATATGTGATACAAAAATGTATTTCTTTCCTGTTTCTTCATTCCAGAAGTACCTACCTCAGCCCTTTAACTGCCCAAAGGAGATCTATGATTTGATGTGTGAGTGCTGGCAACGGGAGGAAAAGAACAGACCAAACTTCAGGGAAATCCACCTTTTCTTACAGAGGAAGAACCTAGGATACAGTCCTGACTCAGACTGACAAACAGATGTATAGGATCTCATGTCGTTCCTCGAATAGAATAATGCATTTAATTACATTTAGATACAGTAGATTACTTGTTGGGTTGAACACTTTGTATTTCTTTACTAAAACTTGAAAAGTCAAAACCATCAATTCGAAAAATATTCAAACCAAACATTTGGGATTTGAAATAAGTAATGTCTAGCAAAATACTAAAAAAAAGGAAAACAGCAATAATATAACATAATAGCTGTACGAACAGGTTTTGAGTCGTCAACCTGATGATGACGACGTAAAAGGAGTTAAACGGCGATAGTCAAACGCAAGTGATTTTTCAAGAGGGCGTTTTCATTTATTGTTTTGTTAACTTGATTTGTTAATATTTTATATGATTAGCAACGATTATCATCCTGTTCCTTTTGATCGATTAACCAACCTTAAGATTGTAAACAACCAATTTAAACATTTTGTGGATTGCTAGTCTTACAATGTGTAAGTAAATGGCAAAACTAAGCCACAGAGTCAAAGATTTAAAATACAGTACGATATTTTAGATGTTTACCGGCAACCGTAGTTAATTTTGCCATATTAAACTTGATTTAATTTTCCCCCAACTGAAATGATTTTTTTTTCTTGAACTCAAAAAACATTTACTGTTATAAGAATAAAATATTTAATCGTAAATGTGCTGTTCACAATGCTATGTTAAATTTTAAAAATATAATAATTAAGTCTCAATATATACTAACATAAACTATCTTCATAAATTATAATGCAATGATGTAGGGTGTTGTAAATAAACATAGTGCCTAATATTAATGAAATAAATTTATATTTGGTTATAGAAAATTACATTTGTTCATATTGCATGTAAAAATATTTCAACTGTATAAAGAATTGCTGCTACTAGCTCTACTAAAACTATCTCATTGATTTATGGTATTGATAGAGAGTGTATAGAGTTGTAAATTCATAGGCTAATGACTTATGGAACAACTAAATTAAGAAATGTCTTTTCTGATTAAATAAATTTCATTTACAACGACCTTTTGCCCTTTTACTAAATAAAGGTAAATAGAGTATAGAGGTTACATAAAATATATCTCAGTTGTTTTATCCTGACTTTTTTAGTTTCTAAAAGTGTATTTATTTAAGCTAAATTTGTTCTAATTATATCATTTTAAGGTAATATGTATATTTATAAATAAAATGTTTTAAAACAATATTTGAAACACATCTCTTGGTAGAGATAACAAAAAAGGTTCTATTATAACGATTCTAACATAAGTAGGTTTGTTATATAGATCTAGAAGATTGCACGTCGTACAACTGAGGTCAAACCAAAGAATTATTTTTCAGAAATGTTAAAAATTATTACAATCATATCCTCAATTAAGGTTTCTTATTCTTGAAAAATTACCTTGAACGAAACCTAAATGGCTGCACAAATATTTGTAAATTTTTATAAAACAAGAATGCACTTTGTTTTAGATTTTTGAACTAAATGTATGAAATGCTTCTCTTGATTCCGTATTAAGGAACTGGGGACAACATTATACAATATTAGTTGTTGTGATAGTAAATACTATCGAAACTAATATTAATTAGTACAGTTAAAACTCAGATTTGATTTGTGAAAGGAAAAACGCAGTAACATGAATTGCCATTCTTCACTGAGATTTCTTTGTAAATTATTCTAGAATGATATTGCTAAAAATGTGCTTGTACAAGTTTCGGTAGTAAAAGCTATTGAGAGGTCTACTTTCCTTTTAAAAACTTTTGTACAGTGACCGTTCAATCAAAATTGAGTAATACATTTGAATTTTACCTTAAAAAACTAACTTGTTGGTTAATAGATTGGTAATTAAAATCTTTTACCAGCTATACATGTAGAACTTGTACCTACTAAATTTAAGTATAAACCCTATCAGAAACAAAATTGTAAATACTTAAATCAATGGTAAATAAATATTTTTGTTGTATTTTGTAATCTAATTTTATTTTTTGCTTTTTGTTGCCAGGATCGTAGAAAACTCTATTAAAAAAAGTGGTTTCTATGTTTGTATTGGTAGAACTACCTGTGAATGTTAATTGTTCTAGTTGATCAAAACTGTGCTTTCCCACTGAAACGTGCCTTTTCTTTCCCAGCCTTTGCTTTTCATTGTGATAGACTTGTTAGACTTTATGGTTGAATATTTGTTTTATATCCTCTCTTCCGACTTGCTTGTTATAAGGTGGACCAGTGTTTTTCATGTTGAAATATTTGTTTAGAGATCGCGGAAATCTATAAAAAATGTTACCTGTTAGAAACTGTAGTTTAACTATTGAAAATTGCTTTGTATGTACATTATATTTTAGTTGTATAGATTATTAAATACTGTAACAAATATTTTAGGTAATTTAAAATTGTATAGATTCGTATAAGAAAACTTCAATGACACATTGGTCTCTTGGATTGTTAAGTAAACAATCTAGAAATATCTACTGCTTTGGATTAAAACTACACGAATACCTCTCTTTACCATAAACCATGTATAACGAATACATCTAATGTAAACATCATAGTGTTGCATACAACTTAAAATTGCTTACCATAGTGTAGTTCCTAAGGATGTATATGTGTACATAACAATGTAAAAGAGCGGTTTCCCAGCTTCTTCTTACCTGCGCCAAGTGTAACTTTAAGTGAACTTTGACAATACCACTACCACATACTGAATGTATTTATTTAACTCTGTTTGCATTTTCAATTATATTTTAAATTAAGGGTTGACATATTTGTAATAATGTAAAATATGTATAAATGCATCTTTTGTAGCTTATTCTTGGACCAGTTTACGTAGTAAACGATTCAACATCGAGACAGTGCTTTATTTTACCTCGCGTCTTTATTTTTATATATTTAAGACTGTCAACAGAATTTTATAGTATACTCTTCATCTCACCCCATAATGCTAATTTTAATAATTTTAGTCCAAAAAAACTATTAAATACCATAGGCAATTTCTATGACTAACCAAATTTTATTATATGTTTTCAAGAAATATCTTGTAGTAATAACTTAAAAAACTTACAAAGAACTTTTTCCTAAGGTTTTAAAAATATAGGTAGAACACAACCAGTCATTTTTCAAACAAATAACACAGAGTAGCCATAAACACTCTCTTGCTAATCTTAATTATTTGAAACTCGTTCCGTACGATTTTGATGCGCTAATCACCTCACAACATTTTATTACTATTCTGATTTCATTTGTATATAAATTAGAGTATATCAATCAACATTTAACTAAACTTTGAAAAATAATTCAACTTAGTCCTGTTCGAGTCCATACGGCCTAGTTCCAGTTTTGTTGTACACACTTATACGCAATTTGGATATTGCAGTTCAATAGTTAAAGACAACAACAAGATTACCTCGTTACACATTTGAGTTACCCATTACGATTTTTCTCATAGTAAATCTACCGTAGGTCTCATGGTAAGACTAGGACCCAGGACCAATTTGTTTTTTTCTTTTTGGTGCCCTAGAGTCAAAAAAATTCATTCATTCAATTTTATAAGTGTGTGTGTCCATTAGAATAATAAATGATTAAGAATTCAAATTATAATTGGAAGTTAATCAATACGATCCCTAGCAAGGAAGTTATTATTTATATATTTGACGTCATGTTTGTACTTTACTATCCTTGAGCTCAAGCCGTAATTGAATCTTCCGTAGAGCTTAAGAAACGTAACAGCAACAATAACGTGCTTGGACTAGAATTGAGTTATATTAAGTTTGCTGTAAGTGTTTAGCAAGTAAACACGGTTCTCAATTTACAGTAAACAAATAAGCTGTAGGAAGATAAAATTGTAGGAATAGACTACTGTTAATTGATTAAAAGGTTAAACAATAACAACGTTTATTATCTGCAACCTACTGCAGTGTCTCGTGCCTTGATTATCTGGTCATTACAGGTCTTTCATGTGAGAATGGTTTTACTCGAGCCGTTCATTGTGTATGAAATTCAAAAATAATGTTTTGTCCACCTGCTGATATGAATTTGTTGTATTGTTGTACATGACATTTAAGTAAATATAAGATTTAGTTAACGTTTAGAACTAAATGAAAAATAGGGCATATATGTAATATCAGTGATAGAGCGACGGAAACAAGTTCTACTTTCGTGTTATTGTTCTTTCTCTAATTGACACTTAGTTATTTCTAGACAGTTTCATCTTGTTCTTTGAAGGTATCTGAATATTATTTTAAACAGTCAGATAAGTAAAATCAAGTTTTAGTTTTCTGAAAGCAATTTTAGTATAATAATTATACGTAATAACTACGTATTACTCTGCAAAGAACCAAAATACTTATGAACTCCTCTTAAATAATGGAGCTGCAATAGGATTTAAAAACGTTTAGTTAAATGGTAAATGGATCCTGCATAAAAAATGGAGGTAATATCAATCTGTCACTAACATAACGAGCCTAATGCCACATTTATATTACCTTTGGTAAAATTTACATTGTCATATAGACATGACATCAGGTAGGCAGTTCTAACAATAAATTGGAAACAAGTATTTTTTACGACAAGCACCATTGTTAGCATACTTGGTGGAAATAATTAAAATTGACAAACTGAAGAACTAATTCAAAAGGAATATGAGGGGTAAAAACAAAACTTTAATGCATTTAAAATTAGCTAAACCTCTTTCTTTGGAGAATTATTTCTTAATTGTAATACAATACGTAAAAGACAAATAATAATATACGGAAAACACAGAAGGTAGTACAACCAAAGAAAGAAAATAATCAAAACATCCGTATTAATGGATTTTGATGTTTTGTTTGCTCTTAGGTATATTAGGTTCAGATATTGAACCAACATTAATGGGTTTATCGTTATCTTGATCGTTTGTCACCCTGTATGTTTATACAGGGTGACAAAAAAGTCTGGAAACGGTTTGATATCTTTTTAGCTAAATTCGTTAGAAAATTCAAACCTTTCACATAAACTTATATGTATGAAAACTACTTTTTGCAACAATTACCATTTTTGTACCTTCACCAGGGGACGGCCCATGGGGAGTAGGTACATAATCTTTAATGTAAGCATAGGTTGATATGCACATCATTTTAAAAATCTGGTCAAGTGGAGTTTATTGCCGGAAACCGCGTCAAAAAAAGTTCATCCGTTACAAAATGGCGGCAGTCCAAAGTTCTTGCGGAATATACCTGCACAGGCCTTAGTAATGGTAAATACTCGTAGTGAAACATTAGCAGGGAAATCTGAAACCCGGTTAAATATGTTTTGAAGATTGAATAAACTTAGTCTATAAGCTAGTTGACTTAAAAATACAATTTCAGCTCTCAAGCTAATGTTTAATACGAGTGTTTACCAATACTAAGGCCTGTGCAGGTATAATCCACAAGAACTTTGAACAGCCGCCATTTTGTAACTGATGAACCTTTTGAGACGTGATTCCCGGCAATGAACTCCACTTGACTAACCCTTTAAAATGATGTGCATATGAACCTATGCTTACATTAAAGATTCTGTACCTACTCCTCATGGGTCGTCCCCTGGTAGAGGTAAAAAAAATGAAAATGCTTGGAAAAAGTAGTTTAATACATGTAAGTTTATGTGAAAGGTTTAAATTTTCTAACGGATTTCGATGAAAGGTTATTAAGCCGTTTCCAGACTTTTTTGTCACCCTGTATGTGTTTTGCCGAGTCCTGGACATCACAGACAAAAACAAAGGTGAGTGAAGCCCACAATAGTCTTCGTAAATAAATAAAACCTCACCTAAAACATGTCACTGTCGATCATAAACAAAAAGGATATTATTTGTGAAATAAAACATCTTGTAACAGTGGAATTAAGGTGTCCTTGTGACGAACATGACTGTGTCCTATATCTTGGTTTATCTTCTCTACTTCCTTCTCTAACAAAGGTTTATACCTCGACTTGTTGACATATTACGTGTTGGTGTTTCTGACAAACTGATGTCATAAGTTTACCTTTACACTGCAGGATATTGATGTATTTTGAGGAAATAATTTTAATACTGGACTAGAAATATTTTACAAAGCAATATGACTATTTACTTAGCAAATATGTCGTTTCTTATTCAAGCAGTGCAACTTTGTTGCTATTTCGTTATTTGATGTATTAAAGTGTTAAATGTCCTAATATAACAATAAAATACTGTGTAAAATACAAGTAACATTTTTTGGCAATTATTATTAGGTACGAAATTGAAAAACTTTGTTATTTTTATATCGTCGAGGGTGACTCCCTCGTGGTGTTTGTACTCAGTTGAAGTATAAATTTATTACTATAATAATAAAATTACACAAAAAACTAAAAAAATATTTATGTTTTAGAAAACATTAAAGATTTGACATTGATATTTGATAGATTAAATGTAAGTATAAAAACACGTAAAATATTGTGAGAACGTAAATATCTTATTGTAAATGTTATTCGAAAAATGTAAACTAATACTATGGATGAAATAAGATACAGAACATGTCTATATAAATAGAAAGAAGTGTTGAATGAAATATTTAAAATGTGTGTGAGACATATTTATTTTGATTCCTAAAATATTAATTTCCTCTACACTTTGGAATAAGTATTTCTTCGAAATGGATAATACATATTAAAAACAAATACTTCATTCTATATAGAAAAATTAATTGAATTAACTAATTTCACGTTAATAAATAGATAAGATTAATATAAATGTATTTCAAAAAAGTAATGTTAGCGAAATTACCGCTAATAATAATAATAATTTAATAACACCACTAAAAATTATTAGAAGTTCAAAGATAAAACCAGCTAATTTATCCTCATGATACAAATTGTTACGGCCATCAATACTTTAGTTGAAAACTATT